TCCTCCTCACCTTTGCTCCTCCCAGAGCTGGAGGTGCTTCTGGCATCGCCGTGGCCTACAAGCCAGAGCTCTGGGTTCCAGCCCCCACCCGATTGCCTCTGCATAGCCCTGGGAAAGTGACTTTGCTGCTCCAAGCCTCAGTTTACCCATCTGAAAGATAAGATGCCCATGACCTTCTAGGAGAGGCTTATGAATGGCAGGGGAGAATCAGCAGGAAAGGAGGACCGGGTGGCCACATGTAGCAAAGCGACTTGGACCAAAAGAGCCCCGAGGGCCCCTGGGAAGGCGGACACATGGGCTTATTTCCTGGAGAGGGGAGATGAGCAAGTGGCTGGCACAGCCACCTGGAGACGGCACCCGGGGGCCCTGACCCAGGAGTGCCCTGCCGAGGCGAAGGGCCCCATGTGGACCCTAACTGTCCCCCTCACCCTCCGGCTGGTCAAATCCCCAGCAGGCCCAGTGTGCAGGAGCAGGACAGGCCGGGGATGAAGTCACAGCTGGAAGGGGCCGAGCTGGGGCTGCCACTCCAGGGTGGGGCCTGGGGTCATGACCCTGGGAGCATGCAGCCAAGAAGGGAGGATGCCTTCCGTGAGGAAGCCTAGGGGAAAACACAAACACACAAACACACACACACACACACACACACACACACACACAGCATAGAGAGGGAGGGAAGAAAACAAACTCCGGGAGACCAAAGCTGGCCTGGAGCGCGGTCTGGGCGGCTGATTCCTGGGGACCAAGGCCACGTTGCAGGCAGCTCCTGGCCTGGCGGCTCCAAGACCCTGCCCGAGCTTCCCCCCAGAGGCCAGGTGCAGAGGGTGCCTGGACATGGACAGGAAAGGGAGGCCGGGCCTAGAGTGCCGAGGGGCCCACAGCTCTTGGGGAGCACGGACCAAATCAGGTACCGTGAGAGGGGAAACTGAGGCCTGGGGGGCCAGTCGGGGAGGGAGTTAAGTGTCTTCTATACTCTGCCCCTACTTCCTGTTTCCTGTGGGGGTGGGTCTGAGATTCCATGGCGACTGGGGGTAGATTGTAGGGCTGGCATGGGATCTAGGGAGCCAGAAGGCAGTATGAGGACCTGGAGGTCCACTCAGAAGGGACGTAGGGGAGGGACGGAGGCAGGACAGTGGTGGGACAGCGTGGCAGCTTCCAGGAGAATCAGGGCACGTAGTGAGAGTCTCAGGTGGGGGAACGAAGGGATCCACAGATGGGGCCACAGTGGGGTCTAGGTCAGATGGACTTTCGGTCCACTTCAGAAGCACCAGGCTGAGTCAGGTGACACGGGTCTAGGAGATGTGGCGGTAAGACTGGAGGCTGACCTGGCATTCATGTTCACGTGCTCTGTGTTCATCAGGCTCTCATGCAGGAGAGTAGAGGAGTTGTAGGGGGGTGGGGGTTGGATTTTTTGTGAAGGGAGGGAGGTGAGCTGGGATGTTTGGGGCCATGGGGTCTTCTGAGCCAGGCTGGGGTAGGTGGGCCTCCAGAGGATGTAGGCTGACCCCATAGTACGCGTATGGGAGGGGCAAGTGCCAGGTGGGGTCTTCTATGGCCCTCCAAGGAAGAGACAAGGTGTGAGGGGGGCAGGAAGGGAGGAGGAAGGAGAGCCGCTGTGACTCTACCAGCCTCCTCCCTGCCGGGAAGTGCCAGCTGGGATGGGCACTTTTATCACCCCACATCCCAGGTCCTGCTGGGAGAGCTTGGGGGAAGTGAGCCTGCACAGGGCAGAGTGTGTGGGGGGAGCAGGCATGAGGGCTCGTCCTGGCACGATGAGGGAGGAACGCGTGGCTGGGCAGGTCCTGGATGTGGTAAGAGGAGGAGCTGGGAGCGTGCATGGAGGATGGGTAAGGGGTGAGCAGGGGCCAGAGAAAGGCTGTGTCTCCCTGGCCTTGGAAAGCCAACTCTCCCGCCTTGTTTTCTGGTTAGGGTCAGGCTGGAGGGCTGGGGTGGGATCCCCAGGGGAATGAGACATCTCCTGGGACAGAGGGTGCCCCTGGAAACTTGGGGGACAGTGTGGTGCCAGTTATGTATCCTCTGGCCAGTGCTCGCTCACATCATTATTGAGAAGTGTTTTTTTTGGGGGGGGGAGGAGTCCCACGCTCATTTTGCCCTGGTCCCCACCATTCCTTCCTGCCTCTCCTCATGCATTCACAAATCTAACTGGCCAGGATAGACACCAGAATTTGTGACCCTGACTTACAGACTCTAGAAACACCTTTTGAGGGTCACCATTATGCTCTGAGGCTGAGCCCCAAGGCGCTTCCAAGGCAGGTTTTGGGAGGAAGGCTATTTCTCTTCTCCCCAGCCAGCTCTCAGCATCCTGAAGAAGAAACCTGGGTCTGATCCACTAAGCTTCCCTAGGTCTCTGCTCCAGGTGTCCCTCAGAATGGAAATGCTGGACCACCTTTCCCTGAAAGGGGAGGTGGGATGGCAATGAATTTTGGTAAACCACAGACACACAACACCTTCTCAGAAGCTCCTCCTTAGGCTGTTCCCAAAAAACTAAGTGACCACAAAACCCTCTCCCTCTCTCCCCATCTTCCCAGCCCCCTCCCCAGCCTCACAGGTACCTGTGGTCAGCAGTGTAAGCTTGCTGATGGTGGTCAGGAGGCCAGACCCTGGGGGACTCTGGGCAGCCTGCTCCCTTTGAAGCCCCACTTTGCCTAGTGGCAATGGGTAGGCTGGGGAAGGCTACCTCTGAGGTGCCCACATTCAGTTCTGCTTTATTACTGTCTAAAGTCCAAGCCCGGCCCCAGCCCCTCTTCCTGGAGCCTCCTTCTCAGCCAAGCTCCAGCCTGCCTCCTCCCCACTGCCCCCCAAATCCCTTGATCAGGGGGCCACAGGTGCCATCCTCCATCTGCTTGCCTAGTGTCAGGCCACCTCCCCAAACCCAGGTGAGTCAGGGCTGTCTGGAGCACCTACAGCCCCTGGGGACCCCGATGACTCTAGCCTGGGGACCCTCCTTGCCCTCCCCAACTTCAAACAGCTCCTAGGGCAAGCCACTCAGGAAAACCACAGGGTGTTTTGTTGAAGAGTTCATTATAATTTTATCAATCAAATTCTTAGAAGAGGGAAAAAAAAAGTCTGCTCTCTCCCCCCTCCCCCCTCACTGCCCCCCCCACTCTCACTTTCTTCCATTCATAATTTCCTATGATGCACCTCAAACAACTTCCTGGACGGGGATCCCTGCTAAATATAGCTGTTTCTCTCTCTGTCTTACAACACAGGCTCCAGTATATAAATCAGGCAAATTCCCCGTTGAGCATGAACCTCTGAAAACTGCCGGCATCTAAGGTCTCCTCCAAGGCCCTCTGGAGTCCAGCCCATAATGAAGGTCTTGGCGGCAGGTAAATCCACCCGCCCCGCGCCGGCTTCCGCGCCCCACCGCGGGTGCTGCGGCAACTTGGGGCGCTTGGCGATCGCGAGCGGGACACCCACTCGCCGCAGACACACGGACACTTGGGGCACCGGTGCAGCCGGTCCGGGCCACCGGAGGCGCTGGGTGGCGGCGGGGAGCGAGCGCAGGCACATGGTCCCGGCACCGCGCGCCCAGCCCGCCCGGGGGCCTGCAGGTTGGCGGGCAAGGGAGGGGGCCGCGCAGCCTTCCTCCTGCTCCTCCTCCTCCTCCTCCTCCTCCTCCTCCTCGCTCCGGCCGCTCTCCCGTCTGCTCTTCCCGCTCTGCTTTCTCCCGATTCACCCTCCCTCTTTCTTTCTTTCTCTCTTTCTTTCTGTCTTTCCTCTTTCTCTTTTCCAACCGTGTCCCGGGCTGCGCCCAGGGAGGGGCACCGGCCTCCGAGCAGCTTGCAAACTCCGGCCGGGACGGAAGCAGGTGCCGCCTCCATCTGCTAGTGCCTGGAAAGCTGTGGTCTTTGCTAGGTGAGCCGGGGGTGTGTGTGGGGGGCAACCATTCCGGGGTCTCAGCACTGCCTGGGGATGCTGGGAGGAGCAGGGGACCCAGGAGAGGCGAACTCGAGGCTGCCACCGTCCCAGTAGGGGAGATCCCAGGGCTCCAGCGCCCCCCTTCGCCCCAGCCTCACCGGTTCTCCAGCCTCACTGGTGTGTCGCCCCCAGCTCCTGCTGCTGGGCCACTGGGAAAGGCCCCTCAGAGGGGACCCGAGAGCAAAGTTGGGAAGCGGGACCCCTGGGGGGAGGGGCGACCCAGGACAGGCCCAGACGGCTCCCAGCTCTCCTGTCACCTTTCACTTTCCTTCCTCCCCCGCCCACCTGGCTGCCTGCGACCTTTTCCCTTTTCTCTTTTCTGGTTGCACCATTTCCTCTCCCTCCCCAAGGCTCTGAGGACCTGTGGGACCCCAGGATTCTCCTTGTCCTAAGCCAGCGATGGGGCAAGTAGTAGAGGAGAGGTGGGTGGCATGGAGGCAGGAGCTGTGCAGAGCTGGGGGGACAGGAGGTTCTGAATGATGGTTTGGGGTTGGAGAAGGGGCAGAACTGGACAACTGGGGTGGAGTTGAATGTCCTAGATAGGAGAATGGCCCCATCTGGAGAAGAGGCGCTGCAGAAGAGATGGGGAAGGGTGGCGGAATTAGGAGACAAATGACCCAGGGAGCCAGCATCAAGTGACAGGTTTAAGAGGGAGAACAGAGTGTCAGTAGAAGATCCCCCCACCCTCTCCCACCCCCCACCCCCACGCCGGGTTCCCATTGGAGCCTGATCTGGGAGCTCTGGCCTGCGATGGGCCAGTGAGCATGAAGCAATGCACTGGAATCTGGACCATCCTGCAAGGTGGGAAGATAGGGGCCACTGGGGCCACTTGAGACCCGCTGGGCCTGGGGCATAGTGCCCTCCAACCAGAGGGGCAGGAGGCCTCAGGGGCTTTTGCCATCCTGAGGGAAAGGGCTGGATGGTTTGTGTCACCCTGGACCCAGCTCCCAGCTGGTGGGCACAGCTCATGCCCTACCCCCTTACTCCTCTTAGGAGAAGGGAAAAATAAGAGAAAGTCTAGAGAAGCAGAGATAGAGATCTGGAGAGAGGGAGGCAGAGAGAAACAGATGCAGTGACATCATGAAAGCTCGTAGCAGCCAGGGGAAGACAGAGCTGGAGGTGGAGCTGGGGCACTGGTGTCCCTGGGGAGGTGAAGCGCATCTTCTACCATGAGCCCTCTCGCTCACCTCCACCCTCCCTGCTCATGGCTCCTTCCTGCCTGTTCCCAGGAGTTGTGCCCCTGCTGCTGGTTCTGCACTGGAAACACGGGGCAGGGAGCCCCCTTCCTATCACCCCTGTCAACGCCACCTGCGCCACACGCCACCCATGTCACAGCAACCTCATGAACCAGATCAGGAACCAACTGGCGCAGCTCAATGGCAGCGCCAATGCCCTCTTTATTCTCTATGTAAGTCCCCTTTCCAGGTCCTGAGGAAGGGCGGGGGGGTTGCTCCACTGACCTGGGCTGTTGGGGCTGGCCATGAAAGAGAGCTTTTGGAGCTGGAAGGAGAGTGTGGGGAAGGGGCTTGGTTCAACCACACCCAGACCCCCCCAGCTTCCGAGCCACTGGCGCCCCCACCCCCAGGCTCAGAGACTGGAAGCCACTTTTCTAGGGTGCCCAGTTATGTCGGGGCAGAGCTGGGGGGGGTGGGGAGAGGGAGAGGCCTGGCACTGCTGGTCTAGGGATTTCTCTACCACATGGAGCAGGAGGCCAGTGAGAGACAGAGAGGAAGTAGGGTGGCTGGGGAGATGCTGCTGAGAGAGAAAGTAGGCTGTGGGTGTCTGGGGTGCAAAGCCAACCAGGAAGAAGGTGTGTACAGTGGGTGAAAGGGCAAGTGTGTGTGGCGTACCCGCAGGAGGTGAGACATGGTATTTTCCTTTCGGTCCCCATATGATCCTAATGAGGGTGATGAAAATCCTTTGCATGACATAGGCCTTGATTCTCTGCGAAGTATGTTTGCACCGTGATTACTTCTGGCTCTCAGGACCATCCTGAGATGCCTAGAGGGCACGTAATGGGTCTCTATGCTAGGGGTGGGAAACTGAGACCCAAGAGCTTGCCCAAAGACTGGGTGGCAGGTTTGGAACATCTGTCCCCGATCCCCACGTCACTTCCCCTCTCCCTCTCTGCTCCTCAGTACACAGCCCAGGGGGAGCCATTCCCCAACAACCTGGACAAGCTGTGTGGCCCCAACGTGACAGACTTCCCACCATTCCACGCCAACAGCACGGAGAAGACCCGGCTGGTGGAGCTGTACCGCATCATCGCCTACCTTGGTGCCTCCCTGGGCAACATCACCCGGGACCAGAAGGTCCTCAATCCCAATGCCCTCAGCCTCCACAGCAAGCTGAATGCCACTGCGGACATCATGCGGGGCCTCCTCAGCAACGTGCTCTGCCGCCTGTGTAGCAAGTACCACGTGGCCCACGTGGACGTGGCCTATGGGCCCGACACCTCGGGCAAGGATGTCTTCCAGAAGAAGAAGTTGGGCTGTCAGCTCCTGGGGAAGTATAAGCAGGTCATCGCCGTGGTGGCCCAGGCCTTCTAGACAGGAGGTCTTGAAGCGTGCAGTAGGCGACCTGAGATCTTGGGCTCAGGCAGCTCTCAGACTGTGGCCAGGGCCCAGAGCATTGCCGGACCCACAAAGGGGCTGCTGGCAGACCCCAAGGGGTTCCTGGCCAGTCCACTCCCTCAAGGGTGGGCTGTGACAAAGCCGAGCAGAATCAAAACTCCCATAGGCAGGGCCTGTCTACAGTACCAATTAGAAGAAGGACCCCCCTTCCTCTGGGAGACTATGGCCAGGCACCAGGGTGTTGGGCTGCTGCGGGGATTGGGGGCTGGACCTCTGTCCCCAGTTGGCCCCTTGGCCAGGGGCTTTGTAAGAAAACTGTACAAGTTATCCATGGCGACCCTGACCGTGGGGCGAGACAACTGGGGTCAGAGGAATTGCCCAGCCCCACAGAATGACCACCATCCAGCCTCTGCCCCTTATGCAGGCTTTAGAAAGTTTGGGCTCAGGCCAGCCAGAGGAGCTGGGATCCAGAGGACTTCTTGGTCCCTACAAGTATAGTGAGTGGAAGTTAGGAGAGTTATGGTTTGAGATGTTCATTCTCTTGAGCATGACTGGGGAGAGCTCAGGTCTAGGGATGGGACTGTGAGGCAGAAAGTCCCAGGATGAGCTCACTGGCACTTAGGCTCATAGGGAGGCAGAGAGCCTCCCACCTTCAGGCCTGGGAAGGGAGGTCCTGAAAGCCTTGGCAGGCTCTCCTTCTTCCCTGAAGTCTTTCCTTGAAGCCTGGGATGGCCGGGGTCCGGTGGCTGGACCCGGAGGTAGGGTTTGGGGAGGTGGGCAGGTGAAAAGGTTCTAAGGGGACCCAGAGTCTTCTTCTGGCCCAGGGTCTATAAGGGATGGGAAGGACTGGGGAATTCAGAGTGGCAGCTCACGCGGGAGGTCCCGTGAGGTCACACAAAGGTACTTGATGGGGACTAGAGGCCATCTCTGGTTCCTAGAGCAAGGGAACAGCAGGACCTGAGGTCAGGGTCTCAGAGAAGCCTGAGAGCCAAGAGTGCTGTGTGTCTGACCCAGCATGATTGTCTATTTATTATGATGCCCTATTTATATTAACTTATTGGTGCTTTAAATGGCAAAATTAGCTCTCTCTTCCCTGCTTCCTACTCAACAGAAATAATACAATGGCTCATAAAGGAGCCAGGGCCAAGCCTTAGCAGGGACTGGTCCAGAAGTCAAAGATGTTACAGATGGAATAGCCTTACGGGTGAAGCTCAGACAAGGGTCAGGACCCGAGAGAACTGGTCACTGTGGGTGGGGGAGCAGGGGACCCAGCTCCGTACCCCATCCCAACTGTGACTTGGTTTGGGGGTTTCAGGATCCTGGCTTGGAGGCAGGCTGGGCCGGTTTGTGGAGTGGCCGGGGGCCTTCTCCCAGGGCCACCATGTTGCTTGTTTCCAGGGGGGCTCACTCAACACTGTTTTCTGGCGGCCCTTGGAATTGTGCAGTGAGGGGCAACATTCATGGTTGAAATGGTGCCCTGGAGCATTGGATGAGGCAGTCCTGGTGGCCCGCCCTGCTGCTGTTTCCTCGTTCCCATACTGTCTCTAGACCAGCAGTTGAGGGGCTCTGGAACAGTCCTGACCCAGCATCCAGCATGCTTGCACACAGTGGGGAAGCTCCTTCTCCGGTGGCCCAAACACCCACAAAGGGCCAGAGGGCCTGGCTGGACCCTCTGGGAAGCCGGGGCAGTGCAGGGAGGAGCTCCCTGCTCTGGAGAAGAGCATAGGGAGGCCCTGGGCCTGCGACCAGGAAGCTGTGGTCCCTCCTGCCCCACCTCTCCCCACACCCCCACCCATGTCTGGGCTCCCAGGCAGGGAACCCGATCCTTTCCTTTGTGTTGGGGCCAGGCTAGTAGAGAAACGCCCTCCAGTCTGGGAGCAAGGGAGGGGGTGCGGAGCTGGGGCAGCTGCTAAGAGCAGCATTCTGGCTTCTTCTCAAACCCTGAGCGGTGGCGGTCCTAGCGGTTCAGCCAATGTGATTATGGTACTTTGCACTCACTTTGCACCTCTCTGTCTTCCCTGAGCACTTTACCCGCACACACCGGGTGGCAGGTGGGCAGGCAGCAGGGTAGGAGGGGGAGGCAAGGCTATTTTGTGGTGGGTGGCAGAGGAGACCATGACAGCCACATGTTTTCTGAATCTGGGTCATACTCACCCTTGCAGTGTCGTAGCCTGCTGTCGTCCCTGCGCTCTGCTCTTTCCGTGAACGTGGCTCAGAAGGCTGGGGGCCAGCTGGGTCTCTAATCATCCCATCACCTCCCTTACACGGACTCCCCATGCTGAGCCCACCTGCGCAGCCTCTGAGGCTCAGAGGCCAAAGGAATCTCTTCCCTGGGACCCAAACCTCCCCTCTGCCTCACTCCCACTGCCTTTGCCCCCACCCCCACCCCACCGTCCCTATGTCCTGCTCTGCTCCTCAGCCCCCATCCTTAGCGCTCTTTCTAGAACCATTCCAGCGGACCACTCTGCACAGCATCCCAGAGTTATGGAGCCTTTGTGTGGAAAAAGCTTTGCAGGGCAGGAAGCTTTCCTTTTCCTCCTTTTTCATCTGCTGGTGGTTGACCAACACCTGCATCCTGCGTCAAGAGGAGGAGGAGGGAGAGGTTGTCGGCAGAGGAGGGGGTAGGACAGTAGTTTTGCAATTTGTGGAGAAGGGAGTACTGGGAACTTTTATTTATTTAAAAACATTTTAAACAAAAGAAGCACCGCTAGTTTATTTGTCTCTCCTCCCCCTCTCCTTGGGCCCTCCTGGGGGACGCCCCCTGCCCCCCACCCCCTGCTCCAGAAGAGGCCCAGTCCCACCTTGCTGGCTCTCCAGAACAGATAGAGCATGTGGGGTCAGAGACCAGAATCAAGTGGGAATTTCCCTTCAGATGGTACAGATGCGCTCACTTTGAGATCACCCCCTCCTGCGCGCCTCCACCCCAGTACCTGGGTGTCTCTTTCAGCCGCACTGCTAGCTCTGTTTGTCCCTCTGTGTTTCCCTCCTTCCTTTCTACTGGCTAGGACTTGGCCTTGAGGGACAAATTCCTCTTTGATGAATGTACCCTGTGGGAATGTTTCATACTGACAGATTATTTTTATTTATTCAATGTCATATTTAAAATATTTATTTTTTATACTGAAGGAATACTTTTTTTTAAGAAAAAAAGAGAAATTAATAAAGAATCTGCTCTTGGCAAGCTCTGCAGACTGTATTGATGTGGGGAGACAGGGCTGGAGGGGCCGGGACTGTCTCTATCCTGGACACCCAACTGAGTGGAGTTCTGCTCTACCAGGAGCTGGAGGGGAGGCTGGGAAGAGGGGGCGAGGGGGCCAGCATGGGTGGGTGGGGCGGGCAGAACAGGCACAGAGGGAAGAAGATGGATGGGATTCGAGATTGTGGGGTGCTGCCCAGAAAGGCCCCTGGCCCTCATCTCTCATGGTAGCCCCATGACTTTCTAAGAGTCATCATCTCCATTTAACAGAGGGGGAAACTGAGTCTCAGAGACATGAAGCCATTTGCCCAGGGTCCCAGTGGCAGTCACTGGTTTTAGGGCCACCTCTCAGCTCCAAATCTCATGTTCTTTCTGCTGTGTGGAACTCCAGGGACCTTGAAGATACCAGTTGCCAATTTTCTGCCCTCAGTGGTCCAGTGACTGTCCAAGGGGAGCTAAAGGGCATAAGCATGAGTGACTGTGGAGCAGGAAATCTAAGGGTCACATCCAGAATTGTGCCAGATACTGGGACCAAGACCAGGGCTTTTCTGCTTTTCTGTTGGGCTCTTCTGGGCCTAGGCAGCCCTCCCACAGTGGACACAGCTGTCTTGTCCCCGTTTTTGGCCTCTGGGACCCCCCCTTCCACTGCAACCTTCTTCCCAGTCTCCTGGGACCCCTTCCTTGGGGAATAAGGGAGGTTGGAACCAGGAGTCCTGGGGTTTGGGTCTGAGGCTTCTCCAGCTGAGATTCATTTGAGGATCTGGACAGTTTTTCTTCTGAGAGTCACCTACTTGCCCATTCATGAATGTTTAGAAGCGTCAGGTCCTGTGTTGTGTTCCAAAGGTGAAGAGGATACAACCCAGGCCTCCTGGAAGCTCACAGGCTAATGGGGACAATGAGTGAGGGCATCTGGGAGGATGTGAGCTATGGTGAGGCACACAGAAGGTGCCAGAGACCAAGATAGAGAGAGCACTCACTGCACCGGGTGTCAGCAGGGCGATCGGTGGCCGGTCCTCCCTTGCTCTCTGTGCAGGGACTTGACCCACGACACTGGGCAACGTTGACCTCACCCGGCAGCTGATCAGAATCTTGCCCCCCAAGCCCACCCCAGACCTGCTGAATAGGAATCTGCCTTTTAACAAGATCACAGGGGATTTGTGTGCCCGTCCAAGTCTGAGAAAGGCCACCCTGCCCTCCTTCCATTTTTCACTCCTCCTGAGACTATGAAGATGTCAAGTGTCAATCACCGAGGACAGCACAGGCTGCTGCTTGGGAGAGAGAGGCTGCCTGGTCCCTGGAGCTTGACCCACAGCTGTTTCGGTCTCTTCCTCCCTGGGACACTGGCGAAGGCCCCTCCCAGTGGGCTGGATCCCAGCACCAGGCCACACCCCGCCAGCATCACCCTGCTTCCCCTTCGCTCCTGGGAGACAAGGTTGAAACTTTACAAAAGAAATCTTTACTAGGAAATGAGAGGAAAACAAACAGCAAAGCACAGCAATGCCTGACCCTATCTGCCACCCCGTGGGTCTGGCTGGGCCACTGGGCCTCGGGTACTTCTCTCACCTGCACCTGCTGAGTTCTCTGTTGCCGAGGAGGGGGCAGGTACTCTGTTCCTTGCTCTGTCCCCCACCAGAGAGAACAAACACTGTTGATTGGCTATTGGATTTCCGTCCTGTCCCAATAATAGGCAAAAGCAATCAGTTGGTGGGAGGAAGGGAGGCCATCTGCTCTGCTGGGAAGGCCCTGCCCTTGAGGCCTGGTCCTCAGCGGCTCTGCCACGTGCAGTCCTGTGACCCTCCTGGGTGAGCTCAGCTCTCTTATCTGTGAGACTGCAAGAGGAACCAGTGATGAATGCTGGTCTGTCTACTTCACAGGGCTGCCAAGGGGAGCCCATGAGCAGGGAGATGGAAGGGCTGTAGAAATCAGGTCCTGGCAAGGTGGAGATGGAGGAAGCAGCAGGAATCTTAGACATGGTGCTCTCTCTGCAGGGGAAAGGGGTCCTCTCCTCCCCCCAGGAATGCAGAAGGGGGGATCTGACAACCCTGAGTCCAGGGGGCCAAGGAGCCGGGTTAACGGGAAGGAGGGTAAGCAGAGTGGACAAATGTCCGGCTGATGGCTCCTCTGACAGTGCTCCGAGTCCCCAACTTGGAGGACACCTGCACAGAGCGGTCTCCTGACCTCAGGGATATGGTGGAGCCAGGGACAGCCCAGATACACAGCTGAGCCTCCTCCCACCCTGGCTCTCAGGAGCCAACTGGACAGGGGAACTCCCACCCCAAGATGATTGTCAACAGCGATCCCACTGGACACACAGCCCACAGGCTCTGTGATGGTCTAGCACTTTAGTTTCCAAACTCATCACTGCATCTTCCCAACCATTTTGAGGGTGGGACTAGACTATCAACTGTTCTCATTTTATAGATGAAGAAGCAGAGGCCCCAGGAGGCTAAGGCACTACCTTGATGTCACTCAGCTTGTGAGAGATGCCCATTGTGTTGGCTCATCTTTATATTCACCACCTGTACACTCACTGTACGCTCACCTGCTCAAGACCAGTAAGGGCCTCTGTGTGCCAGGCTTTATACCCAAGGAGCTCAAAGATTAGTGGCAGAAGAAAGCTAATTTCCCAGGTTACCTCTGCCCTCAATTCAGATTTGTGGAGTCAGGGAATTCACTTATCACACAAATATTCACTCTTTCTTACTTTCTTTCTCTTGCCTCCTTTCTTCTTCTTCTTCTTCTTCTTCTTCTTCTTCTTTCTTCAGATTTTGTTTGGGGTGCATGGGTGACTCAATAGGTTAAGTGTCTGTCTTCGGCTCAGGTCATAATCAAGCCCTGCATCAGGCTCCCCCCTCAGCAGGAAGTCTGCTTCTCCCTCTCCCTCTGCTCCTCCCCACTGCTTGTGCTCACTCTCACTTGCTCTCTCTTTCTCAATTTGAGAGAGAGCACAAGAGAGAATCTCAAGTCGACTCCCCACTGAGCACAGAGCCCCGGGCTGAGATCATGACCTGAGGCAAAATCAAGAGTTGGACGCTTAACCGACTGAGCCACCCAGGCTGACTTTCACAATAAAATTGACGTCATAATAGAACCAAGATGTATTTATTTATTTATAGTCCTTTTTGTTCTAAACGGCATGCAAAACAGCTTACAACATAAGGCATCTAATAAAAATATCGATAAAATAGATAGAGGATCAGCATCAGAGAATATAATAGTAAAGTGAGAAAACTAAGATCATGGAAAGAAAAAATAAATGTTTCAAATCACAAAGGGCCACATAATTACCATGGTTGAGCTTCAAAGTTGGCTCTGAGAGTCCTGGCAGCTAAAGAAAAAAGGGAAATGTGATCTGTTATACAGTTCCCATAGTCAGAAAGGAAGAGGCTTTCTTGAGGCTCAGGGAAAACGGAGCCTAGCCTGGGACTGGTTCCAAAGGTGATTTCTTCCTTGAGACCCACGGCAGGGTGGTAGTAGTCATGTGATGGGCCTTGCAGTGAGTGGGTCCCTAGGGGCTGTTTCTCCCATGGTCTTGGCAAAAGCTGATGCCCAGCATCCAATGCAGCTCAAAGGAGGGGATTCTCCAAGAGCCCAGGATGACACAGGCACAAGCTAGAGATTTGGCCCAGCCCAGCACTGGGCTTCTGAGTCCTAAGGGTGCAGCAGGGGCTAGCCATGCTTCAGAAGCACCCTCTGTCCCCAGGGATTTGAAGAACATTTTTATGGATGTATAATATACCCACAAAATGGACATCAGATGACTTCCTCCTTCCTGGAAGAGTCTGTGAGCCTGGAGTGATGCCAGGTGGTGCATGAGGGGAGGGTGGAAAGGATGTCACCATGACAGAGGCAGGGGTTTGAGGGTCAGTGGGCCTTGAGTGTCTGCCCCTGCCTTGCTCCAAGGCCACTTGGATCCTCTGGGGCTGAGCAGAGAATCTTTTGCTGGCCATTGGCTTCTGTGTCCAGGACACTTCCCACGCCCCCTCCTGCCTGAGAGAGCCCAGCTTGAATCTGTCCCTTTGACTTAGGGGAAGTACCGCCCTGCTTTGGCCTCACTAGAGGGGCCAAATATTTCAATTATGAGGACGTGGTCAAGCCCTGCCCACTCCAGCCTCAATGACTGGTGGTGGAGAGAGGGTGTCTTTGGGGGGAGAGGTGCAGGGGGGTGGTGGTGGATGAGGGAGCCGCAGACCGGGCAATGAGATGGGAGGCTGAGCGGGGGTTAACGGAGCAGACAGGCCTTCTCTGCTGGCTGAGAACAAAACCACCGGCTGGGAGGAAAATATGTGTGGGGCATTTTTGTAATTCCAAGAGGCTTGGTCCAGCTCTTGCCCTGACGGTCAATGAATCAAAGCCAGGAATGGCTCTACCTGTCAGCAGGCTTTCTCCTGGCTCTGCTCACCAAGGCCCCACCCCTCTGCCACCCCCCCACCCAGGCAGGCCAGCTGGAACCCTCCCAGTTCCCCAGAAGGACGGTTGGCTCTTCGAAGGAAGAGTGTGTCATAGGCAAAGGCCAGACGGGCAGCCTACGGGTAGAAGTCTCAGCTTCCTCCTCTGTCTGCTCTTCCGGTCCCATCTTGGAGAGGGACCAGTGGGTTGAAGGGTGCATCGCCCACTCCAGCGGTTTGAAGCGTGGCCCCTGAAAACTACATCTGCATCCTAGTCCCTGGAACCTGTGAATGTGTCCTTATTTGGAAAAAGAATCTTTGCGGATGTAGTTAAGTTAAGGACCTCCAGGTGAGGTCATCCCGAATGTTCTGAGTGAGCCTTAAATCCAAGGACAGGTGTCCTTATAAGAGACATTGAAGAAAGACCCACTCACACCCCACCCCCACCGATCTGGAAGAGGCGGGGAAAGATCGTTCTAAAGTCTTCGCAAGGGGCCTTAGCCTTGCCAACCTCTGAATTTCGGACTTTTGGCCTCCAGGGCTGAGAACGAATAAATGGCTGTTTTAAGCTACCCAGTTTG